GGTTTAGCAACCTCATCTGCCAGCTCATTCTGTCTGTCTTGCTCTTGTCTTATCTCAGGTTATAGGTAGTGTCTCACCTTAGCAGCTCTGCTTAGATTGTGGAAATTAGAAAAATGCCTTTTAGTGAGTTCCATAAATTTCTCTTCAACCAGTCCTAAGGGAAGAACAGACAGAAAGTCAGGTAAGAAAGTGGGGGTTTTAAGCTACTGTTAATATGAGGCTTGGGAAAAGTATTAATTTTCTGTATTCACCCAGAAACAGCTGAGCAGCTGTACTGATGCACTATGCTTTTCTGATCAGTATAAACAAGTAGGAATTTAGACTTTTAAGTCCAAGAATTTGAGCCATTAAAGACCTGCTGTAACCCCTTCACACCTGAGAAACTGAGTATCACTGAGATTTCTTTGATAAAGCAATTCATGCACTTACAGCTGTCTGGCCAGATGTGCCATCACTTGGCCACGTAAGCATAACTGCATCTCACCCCCTGAGTAGCCTGCCCAGGAAGGGGGGCTAATGCATAAGATACAGAGCAGTGAGTCTGGCACAGGTGCTGTGGCTGCCTTCTAAGGCAAACACAGGAGAGGGGATCATGACATACTTTTTCCTTGTGTGCTTTTACTGGATGAAGCATGTACCCTTTCTCCCAGGCCCAGCAATCACTGTATAATACACACAATATCGTGCAAAGATTTGGCAAAGAAGCTGTGTTCCCAGTTCAGGTTTGTGGATGTCTCCCCCTGGGCTTGCGAATATCGAACCCCTTGGCTGGCACCAGATACCTCTACTGTACTATTTCTTTACTGTGTTATTTATTATAGTTACTTCCTGTCTCATTTCCACCAGCCACTGCGAAAAATGACTACACATAGAGGTTGGAGGCTGCAGAGAAGAAGCAAGCCCTCAGGATGAATCAGATGGATTTTTCCACTCTGAAGTATCCTGGCTGGAGCTCTTGCTTCAGCAGCTAGAATGCTGACTTATCCCAGAAAAAAAAAAAAACAACTGTCAGGCACACCAGTGTGACATGTGACAGCCTCATGTGGTCTGTGAGACGTACCCATCACGTTGTTCAATATCTCAATGGCTGGCTCCTCCAGTTCTATGATTTGTTCTTTTATAATGTCCTCAAACATCCTGTAGTTGGAAAAGGCTGGAAGCTCCCGTCCACGATACTGGTCTTCATATTTCTGCATTTTACTGAGTACACTTTTTTTAACTGTAATATTAAAATAACATTGCTTTTTTACTAAATCACTCAATTTATACATTTCAGATTTAAGAAGGAAGTATCTTTTTTGAAATGCTCTTGAGAAGAACAGCTACTGAGATGATCTTTCAAGCAATACCATTAAACCAGAACTGATCTAAGACACATTATTGCTCAGTAAATGAGCCATCTCGTACACTGGATCAAGCATCAAACTGACAGAAAGCAATCCAAAAGTTATGATGAGGCTCAAAAATACTGGCTCTTCTTGGAACTGCTGCCCTCACAGAAGTGTCCACTACCAGTCACTTCTGAGTTTTTAAAAATCCCAGAACAAAACAAAAACCTAAACTCAAAGTCTCATTCCAAGGAATCTACTGGAATTTTCTACTAGCTATTTTCATTCAAGTTATCACAGTCAATATTTCTATGTTGATTTTATATTAATTGGTCATCTTAAATGAGGTATATAGCTTTGAATTAAACAAATATGTGTTTGTAAGTGTTTTGAAATTTTTCGAGACAGTAGTACAAATCTGTAACATGACCACAAGAACACCCATCAGCTTTGCAACAGAAAGCTCAAGGCTTCAAGTATGGAAAGTATCTGCTATTTTTAATACTTCCATTCACTGTAAGAAAGCCAAACAGAATCACCTGACATGCAACAATGTCCCTTCCGAAATCCTAGCAGTGGCTGACAACAATGCTTTCTGTTGAGGAAGGGCTTGCTATGGCTACCTCTACTTTTCAAGCTATGTTAAGAGAACTTACTCTGCTGCACATGTAAATACTTCACCTGAGCATGTACACGAGATTTTGGGGTAGCGTGTTGTCAGAAGATAGCTGCTGTGTGCTACTACCCTGATCCTATTGTGAAGTCAGATGCATTTGTTTCCATCAGCTTTCAGGGATAATCTGAAAGTACCAAGTGGATTCCCCACTATGGCTCAGCTGCCTTGTGATACCTTACATATCTTCTGTGACTCAGTTTCTGCTAGTTCTTTCTGTCATTTTTACATCTATTTCTTCATGCCTTTGTTGTCTTAGTCTTCTATTCCTCTCCATAAAATCACGTTGATTGGCTTGATACTTTATGGACGGGACATAAGAGACATTGACAAACACCAGTGTCTGTCTCTCTTCATGTATACGTATAACTACATATATTTCTTTCTGTCTGACAGCACCTTTGCAGCCCTTTTGTACCTATCATTTTAGAGTCACAGGTGATGTCGACGTAGATGGGCATCAAAGACTAAAAAAATTTGTTTCAAGAGCTATTGCTTGACTGGCAGTTGATGTGATTTTGTCTCTAAAAGCAAATGGTGGGGTCTCTGAAAGATGTGCAAAGAGGCTGCAAAAGATGTTGAATGTACAGTAGAGTTCAGTCTGTGTGTATCACCCTATGCCTCAGTTTAGAACTGACTTCAGTTAAACAATTAGCAAGGTGGGTCATGCACACAAGGGGTACTCTTTACAAGGCTATGGTTATTTCAAACTCAGAATTGCTTTCTCCACAATTTAAACCAGAGATAAAATAGATCTTTGAAAGTCTAAAATTCAAAAACATTCCTAATAATAACAGTAATAGAATTATAAAAAAATATATAGTTTAAATATATTATTATTTATTAATATTGGTGTAGGTTTTGTTGCTGTTACGTGTAAGAATGGTTCAGAGAATCACCAGCTGATTCTGTGCTGGGATCCACAGTCTTGGTTTTATTGCTTTGCTGGGAGAACAGAAACACCCCCTGATCTCTCCACAATGACAGCTTTTAATGCAAACTGGGTCTTTGTCGCCAAGAACCAAAGCATAACTCGCCTAACACTACAACATGGGAATCATAGAATCATTTTGGTTGGAAAAGATGAATGATCCTTGCTTCTCGTCTTTCACTTTCTTGAAAAGAACCTGTTCATGATGCTGTGTCTTGAGAGGAAGGGAATGGAATCCCAGGCTAGCTGCCAGTGATGGTTTTCTATGCTTACCATTTGCAGCACACTCTAGGAGACGCGCTGCCCATGTCTGAAACTCTGCGCGGATTTTTGCAAGCAGCCTGGTTTCATTTCCAAACAACTGCTCCTCTCCACACACCATGTGAGAGATGTCTTGATTAAGGAATCTGATCAACTGTAATGAATTAAAGAACAAGCAAGCAATGTTGTAAAGTTTCATTTATTCATCCTGACTCGCATAAATGAAATTCTGCAGTCATTTGACATTAAAGCAGAGGCATGGGTCATTGAAAACATCCCTTCCCTATATCTTTTACGCTTTTAGCTCTTGGTTGGCTTTTGTTTGTTTGTTTTTGTTTTCCTAAAACCACTACAACTAGACAGGGACTTGATTTTTTTGTTGGTTGGTTTTGTGTGGATTTGTTAGTTTGTTTTTCTGTGGGCTCTTAGAACCATTTACTGCATTCCAATTGACCAGACTTGCATGAAGTCTTTGAAGGCTGATGAGCCTTTGTAAGC